AAATTAGATAATTTTAAAATGGGAAGACTTAGCTTAAATGGATAAAGCAGAGGTAGAAGTGAAACTTTAAATTTCCAGTGAGAGCACCAATCAAATTCTCAGAATGGCATCACTGTGTCAGAATATTTAGTGCCCCTATCAGTCAGGGAGGTTTTTCCGTTTCTCAGAAAAACTTTTGGGTGTCGGTAGGTGGTGCTATAGCTCTTCAATCCACCCGAGGGACAGACCTGCTTCCAGCGCTGAAATGAATTGCCATGGCGTGGTGTGACACACAACCAGTGTCACTTCACCAGGTGGAAAGCTGGGGGGAGAATACAAAAAAAAACCCACCAAAAACAAAACTAAAAAACCAAAACGATGCTGAAATTGTAATTGAAACACTTAGATAAGGCTGTAGTTTAGGTGACATTTAGAGTTCTTGCTAAGGCAAAGGTATCATCATACCATACACCAAACAAAGAAAATGGCAATTATGCAAGAGACTACAAAATTATCACATTGCCTTATCTATACAAAAATACAAAAAAAAAAAAAACCAAACCTGCACAAATATTTAGCTCTTTCTGCAGCCTATTCTAAAGTCCTATGACTGTCAGAAAAAACACTTGAAGAAAATAGCAAGCATTTATATTGTTCTAAGGAATGAGTTCTGGCTATAAAAGCTGAGCACAGCTCTAAGATGGGTTGTTTACATCCACTCTGTGAAAACGGCAGAAATTCTGATCAGAGCCTGCAGGGTGCACCAGGAGCCCCTCAGGTGCCCTGGGCAGCCTGTCCCTGTCCCTCTTGGCCACCCCTGTGCCTGGCCCAGGCTCTCACCTCTGCAGGGCTGTGCTGCAGGCTGGCCTTGCCAGCCCCTTCCCCTGAACCCCCTTAGTGGGCAGGGGAAGCAGAGTGTCCCACCAGAGCCATGTCCCCAGTCCTGCTCAGCGCTGGCTCCTGTGTGACACCCACACCCGCGGTGCAGCTGGCCCGGGTTTGACTCGCCAGCTGTGCCCTGTGGCAGTGGCCCCTGGTGGGCAGGGAGCAGCTCACAGCAGAGCCCTGTGCTCTGTGCTGCTGTGCCCCAGCTGCTCAGGCTGCTCCCTGACACCAAGTGCAGCAAACACCTCTTCATTCCTTAGGTCACCTCCAGGGATCCGCAGCACCTGGCAGTGAATCCTCAGTGCCTCCTGCCAGCCCTGGTCTATGCCTTGAATAAAAACTAACACAGACACTGATCCCACTGCATAAACAAGGCCTCATCTACTAATTCATCAGTTTAAAGGACTGTCTTAAAAGTTTTACTCAATTCCTACCCTTTCCTGGAAAGCTGTTTTGGATAAATCACACATAGCTGTAATTGACAAGTCAAGTCCAGAACAGTTTGCTTTGCTTTACAGTTAATGCAGTCTAAATTTCAAAATCATCTCACCTCAATCTCTTAGAGCCCTGGCTCTTCAAAGGACATCAGAAGAATCTTTTTAGATGAAACTGTACTTGAACTGTAGATTCATGATGCAAGAAACACTTAAAACACACATATGTAGTCAAAGAGCTATATGGCAGTTTTATTTGTAAAATACTTAATTCCTAACAGCAAAATACTTTAATTGTACTTTATAAAAGTTAGCAAAATTTCATACATTTGAAACAGAAACAATTCTACTTCAATTTTCTTTTCAAGTTGGAAGCTATAGGTATGCACCACACAACAGATTTCAGAACACGTCATTCAATAAATATATCCTTCCACCATTAAAATCTGTGAAGGGCAGTGAAAACAATTCATAAAACTACTGAAAAAATATAAGCATTTTTGTCTTTTTCTGAGGTTTGGAACTAGTAATATCTATACACAACAAAGTTCTTGGCATTTACAACAAGGACTGTATAGCAAGTAACAGAAGAGTTTGTTAATAGTACACCAGAACAACCAAATTTGCAGTACAACATTTCTACCAAAAGAAAATCAGAAGTTCAGTCTGTTTCTTGAATCCTACAGAGGACTTCTGCAAGGAGGTGGCAGAAGGAACTTAAATTACCAATTGATTTCATATTTATAAGGCCATTGCATATCCTAAGTTGCAATTAAAAATCTGGTCCTATACCCTGTACAATAAAGACTGTCTGTTATGAACAGAAGTTGAAGTGAGAATGAGTAAATTCACTGTTTTATTCTATTACTAACAAATAAACTATGAAACCTCTGTCTTGGAGAGGACAGATTTAGTTAAATCTAATTCTGCTATGTACAAGTGTCATTTTGGAAGCCACAGTTTCCACAACTCTCAGAGGTAAAATCCACTCCTTATGCCAGCCTTCCAAGAAGTTTTATTCTGTGAAGAAATTGGACCTCTGAGACTGCACTCAGACCCAACACAAGCAACAAGGCAAGCTCACACAGAGTCAGCCAGTGCAGACACTGCGAGGACTGTGTGACATGCTGGGAAACATGGAACAAAAAGGGTTACACCAACTGCAAGGAGTGCAACAAGGGCCAGGGCTGGGCTCTGCACCTGGAACAGGGCAGCCCTGGCTGCATGCATCAGCTAAGGAGCAGCTATGGAAAGGGTCCTGGACATCCTGGCTGATGGCAGCTTGAGTATCAGTCAGGAATGCCCTGTCAGCAAGGAGGGTCAGCTGGGTCTTGGGGGGCATCAAGCACAGCCTGCCAGCTGGGAGAGGGAGGGAATTGTCCTGCTCTGCTCTGGGGCAGCCTCACCTCAAGTGCTGGGGATAGTTTTAGGCACCACAATATAAGAAACACATTCAGCTATTCGAGAGTGTCCAGGGGAGGGCCATGAGGATGGTGAAGGGTCTGGAGGAGAAGCTGTATGAGGAGCAGCTGAGGTCACTTGGTTTTTGCCAGACTGGAGGAGACTGAGGGAAGACCTCATTGTGGTCTTCAACATCCTCCCAAGGGGAAGAGGAGGGGCAGGTACTGATCTCTTCCCTCTTATGAGCAGCAACAGGACCCAAGGGAATGGCCTGAAGGTGTAGCAGGAGAGGTTTGGGTGGGATATCAGGAAAAGGTGGTGTTGTTCTATTTCTAGAGTCCCATACTGTTGTTATCAGATTTCTAAAGTCCCATACCTCCTCAGTGTATTCTCATGGCTGCAGATCTTCACAGCACAGACTCCTTCTTCTGCATGCTGTTCTCTCTCAGGTCAGGGCTCCTCCAAGGCTCTCCCTGACTGGCTGACCCGCCCCCTTTTACCCAGTTATCCTCATTGGTCACAGCTGCAGCCCAATTAAGGACATCACAGCTGCAGCCCATCAAGGGCAACCAGACTTCTGGGGCAAAGCCTCTATACAGATATTCAAGTACAATACATTTCCTCTACTATAAAAAAGTTCTTCACTCAGTGGGTAGGTGGGCACTAGCAAAGGTTCCCAGGGAAGTGGTCACATCACCAAGCCTGACAGAGTTCAAGAACAATGCTCTCAGGCACATGGTGTCATTTTTGGGGATGATCCTATGCACTGTCAGGAGTTGGACTTGATGATCCTGATATGTCACTTACAACTCAGCATATTTTATGATTCTGTGATTGCTTCCTTTGTTGAAAACAAACAAACAAAAAACCTCCAAATAACAAAGAAACTACCCAACAAAAAAACCCATTAACTTCTGTACAGTTACTGCTGTTGAATTCTAACTTAGAAATTAAACTGAGCGAGATGTGAAATTGAATATATATGGTAATTAATTCTTTATTTTTAAAAGTTCAACCTCCAAGTGATTTTGAAAATTAGCTTGTTAAAATTAGTTAGTTTGCTATTTTTAAAAAATATATACCTTAATGCACTAATAAATCTTAGTCTTGCGTAGACACAAAGGAAAGGCAAGGGCATGAACATTTATTATTGACAGGTGCTTTTCTGGGCCTCATACACCTACAACAAGGGATTTGCTAAAATTTTGAAGCCTTAGCCACAGTAATCATGGGATAGTGAAGTTCAGGACCCTGAAGAAGTATTTTCCTTAAATTTCATTAAGAAAAACTAGAATGAACCATTGGATTGTGGGTTTTTTGTCCTTTTAGAAGAGCTAAATCAGTGCCGAGCAGTATAACTGATGTCTTGAGAGGCTACCTGGAACAGAGGCTAGACAGTATCAAAGGAACAAAGTAGGTATTTATTAAAAGGCCTTCAAAGGATGCACCTTGGGCAGTACAAGAGCCTGGCCAAGGCTACACCCAAGATGGATGATGGGTCAGGAGTTTTCACACTTTTATAAGTTTTGGTCAATTTACATACTGGAGTTAATTGTCCAATTACAGCTTCAGGTTATCAAGTTTCATCCTCCCAGACTGCTCTCCTCAATTCACTGCTGTTTAAACCTTTTGGGCCTGAAGCTGCAATGGTGTCCTTGGTTCCCAGGCTGGAAAAGGATTGTTTTGTCTAACTAAACTGTGAAGAGAACCTGCTGACACTTTATATCAAGTTCAGAGTTATGTACTCATGCAGTACAGAATCTCAAAAATATGAAAGCTAAAACTTAAGGCATCATTCCCCCATACATTACCAGATGTACTTACATTGCTGTCTGCCTCTTACCCTGCAAAAAACACTGATATAGGAGGCAAAAATGTGAGAGATCATACAATCATCAAGGTTGGAAAAGAAGATCATCAAGTCCAGATACGACAAGTTACCTAAATGAAATTAAAACTATTTTCTCCTTTCTGATATTTTCACTGAAGATATCCAATTGTCAAAGCAAATTTCATTCCTCATACATAATAAGATAATTTAGCTGGCAGCGATTCACCCTCCAAGGAGGACCACTCTTTCCTCTCCTCTTTTCCATCTGCTTCTGCTGAACTGATGCACAGTGCATCTTTTCTAACCAGATTAATCTTTCAGATTCAATGAATCATGAGAAGAAGATGCTTTTAGGAGAGACCACATTGCAAATGCTACAGGGAACACTGAAAATAATTTCTGAGGAGCACAAACATTACTTATGCAAAGAATTAGGGCTCCCAAGCCTTCTGCTGATTTTGGTCTCACAAAGTGATGCTATTTAGTGCTGCTGACAACTCAGTTGAATAGGACAGCTTGATATTACAGGCTTCTACACAGAGTTAATAAAAACCTGCTAAATTAAGATTTGAGGCAGCTGCTAGAGAGCTTCAATCCGAGAGATGCTTTCCGCTGGCTTTACGGCTGTGGGATCCTCTGGGGGACTCTGCACTCGGGGCTCTCTGGCGCGTTCCAGTCGTGGCCTTTTTGAGCTCGTGTCTGAGACTGCGGATTGTGCTGTTTATGGCAGCCACGCACGCCTTCCAATCAAATCCACTTTCATTGAGATCAAAGGATGGAAAATTCTCTTGAAGAAAGTCTAAAAATAAACAAGTATGTAATAGTGAGTTAGCAATTATTTAGGTAAGCTATGTACTCTTTCTGGATGTAATTAAGCTAAAACAAGTGCATGCTACCAAACCAGGACAGTTAGACATATTACAAGCCTCGAAAAGCAAAGCAGGGCAGATATTGCTTTCCCCTTTCTGTTATATTTGAAAATGAGTAAAAAAAGGTCTAAACACAAAAACAAAATATGAAAAGAAAACGTGACCATGTGTGTGGTTTTGATCCTTTGAAGTGCTGAGTAACTTCAGCTTCTAATGTGGTCAGCTAGCAAAGACAAATCTTGGGCTCCATTTCAGAATGACCAGAATTAGGCAGGACCAAGCTCTCCTTCAGAGGATCTCTGGCAACTATATTCACTAAAATTAGTCACACCAGTTCAGCATAACACAGATGTACAGGAACAACAGTGACAGAAAAATTGTGAGAGCTCATTCCTTACCATAATGCAAGTAAGATCAGTAAACAAACACTTGAGTTTGGTAGGAATGACAAAAAAGGTAGGACTGCAGTACCTTTCTTCCCTTCCATGAGTAAAATTGGTAATTTAAAACCAAAATTAAAATTGGTTTTTGAAGTTATTGAGGAGTGATTGTCCTGCTGAGTTGAATTACATGTTTTCTCTTAACAACCTGGTAAGTCTTAAATAAACACCAAAAAGCAATTCTCATCTGTAATTTCAAATCAAAGCAATATTGCTTCTCCTTCTCTGATTAACATCTAGATTTACCTTCATAGTAGAAAGAAAGGTATAGCTAGTAGATATTGTGTCAGCTTTCTCTAACACATACCAGCAAATAAAAATCTCATATAGTATCATTGCTTACAGTTAAAATTTTAACTTGAAGTTACAAATCTGGAAACCCATTTTTCCAGAAAAGCTTTGGTCTGAAGGAAGAAAGTAACTGAGATAAAAACTTGTTCTCTTGCAGTTCACTCTGCTCCAGAAGGAGAGGTGAAAGGGAGAGTAAGTGTGCCTTAGGATACTCCTGTTTCAAACTATGCTGACAAAGGATAGCTGCTGGCTGAAGCAGCAGACAGGCTCTCCTTGCTTCCATCCCCAGCAGTAAATTCAAGAATATTTGACCTCAGAGGAACAGCAGAGAACTGGAATTCTTCAAGGTCCACACAGCCATTGTACATGGTCCACTAAACAGCTTTTAAAGTTATGGCTTTTCTTTGACCAAAACTGACCAATTCTGGGGATTATTGTAAGGCTATGCAGGGCCCCTTCCTGCTCTGCAGGGTAACATTCATGGAGCTGGTGCTGCCATCCAGTCAGGCTGTGTTAAAGGAAACAGGGGCAGGGACTGTCCTATGGCTCCAGAGCCAAGTGACAAGGTCTGGCTGCAACCACAACACACAACACACAGGATTTGTCTCTCATCTGCTCTCTGGCCCACATGGTGTTCTGCAGTCCTAAGACACACTTACTATATCTTTTGAATGCTTCTTAAGCTCAAAATGTCAAGAAATAAAATATGTCTACATGTCTATATATGCGTGTATATATAAATATATACATATATATATATAAAGTAGAGATGTTTAAGTGGCAAAGTTTCCCAGGCTACTGCTTGCCATACTGGAAATGGTTTCTGGCATGCTCTGTCTGTCCCTCAAGCTATGCCCAGTCACCACCCCAGAGGGTGTGAGTCACAGCTCCATTTCATTGAGCATCAACACTGCTCCCTTAGATGCAGTCCTCCTTCCCCAGTTCTCTCCCCCATCCCAGTGGGTGGGCAGGGGAACAGGACAGGGAGGAAGAAGGTGAGCAAGCAGCTGTGTTTAGCTACCTGATGGGTTAAAACACAACAGCTGCTAAATTCCACTTCATAAGCTCTCCTTGTTTCCAATCTCTAAATATGGCTTTTTTTCTGCAAGGCTCAGTTATGAATTCCCAGCTTAGCCCAACTCAGATCTCCTAAGTGTCAAGATGGACTCCTGTGTGCTTGCAGAAGGCTGCTCTTAAAGATCTGTCAACTTTCCTTCTCTCCTATTCACAGCTGTCTCTCACAAGCTCCCATCTGTGACTTTCCCAAACATGTCCAAGTATGCTCTCCCAAGCTACAGAGCCTGTAGTCAGACCCTTCTTACTCTACTCAGGACCTTAGGGCCCATGATTTCATAATCTCTACAGGCAATGCCACCACCAATTATCATAGAAGAACCCTTTTTGTGAAGAAAGCCATAACCTGCAGTACATGACATCTCTGTCCTCTGCTTCATCTACACAGTCCCAATATCAAGAAATTATCTCTGATGTCCTCCAGAATCCTCAGGCACTGCTCCCATCTCCCACTGCATCGCTCTTTCAAGCCAATGTCGAGACAATTGAGTTTTCCCATACAAACCAGGTTCATCATCTGGAGAATTTCTTGAGCTACTAAAATATAACTTTATCTACTTCCTCTCAATTTGTTTCACTGCTTGCAGAAATGCCTGTAAGAATATTTTCACAGAATAATTTCTGAAGTTCTATGCTTTGTTCATAGAATACAAAGTTAATACTCTTACCAGTTTCCCTACATTATGATTTAACAGAGATTTTCTTGCTTACCTCTGAGAGCATTAATTTTATTGGAATCCAGTGGGCTCATGCCACGATCAAGACTACCATAGACGTTGCTTTTCACCAGCACCTCTTCAGGGAACATGTGGCGGATCAGGAAGCGAGCTGACAGCTCTGGCCGCGTCTTCCCCTTGGCGACGTAAATCACCGAGAAAGGCAACTGAACATTGCGCCATGGGCTCCCAAGAGGTTCTAGAGAAGATGTCATGGAGGGAGGAGAGATATGTTACTCATCCAACACTGACCATGCCTCAAAGTGGCTGTATTAAATCAAAACTGGCACAAAAAGCTCACCTGGAAACCACTCTACTTGCTTGGAAAGACCAAAGCAAAGCCGTAACACTACAGCTACTGCTAACATGAAACATGTTGCAGACATGTGGCCAAGCAGCCAGAACACCTGGTTTACAACCACAAACAGTACTTCTGATATGTCTTCAGCAAGGCAAGCTGCATTATTAATTATTGCTTTCTAACTTGTTTCATCTCAGGTGAAAAGATGATGCTTTTCCAAGTAAGTAAGTAAATAAAAGTTCTGCTATCTCAGTGGTGTTTAGATTCTGCAAGCAGAAACTGAGTGAATATTTTTCAACTGTTTCTACCTCACTTCACTGCAAACATTAATAAGAAAAAATGCAAAACTTTTAGTACATACAGAGGTCTGTGGGATCTGACTAACAAATCTTGGGTGCAGGAACAGATCTGAAACAACCCTAAAGTGACCCTAATTGAATAAATTACTTGCAACAGCAACAAATCTCAGCCCATTTTCCTTGAGGGTCTCTAAGCATCACATGCTGTACACGAATTTTTTCCTCAATGCATTTGTGTATTGAACACTTACATTAAAAAAGTGAAAATATAAAGGCTGCTTTAAGATTTTTATTGTCCTAAAGAGTCAGTTTTGCAGGAAGGTGTGCTTTTTCTTCTGAAATTGCAATTCCATTCCATAGATATTCTGAGCTAGCTTACTTTTTAAAGTATTATATATTTATTAACCAAATAAAAGAAAAAAGCCAGGACAACTGAACAGAGTAACTGAAGCTGAACTTCCCAATGTCACAGCAGATATGCATTATGGGATTCTGGTAGATGCAAACATATATTCTGTTAGCCAGATATAATGCCCTTGCTCATTCCCAAAAAGACTTACTATGTGTACACCAAACAACTGCCTTAAGAGAAAAAGAAGACTCACATAGTTCAGAAAATCCCTTTACTATGCAATCATACCTACAGAACCATTGTTTGCCTCTCATTGACTATTTAAAATGTAACAAGCAATGCCAGAACACAAAAAATTTCTTTGTTTACCCATAGGTTCCAAAGACTGTTGTTTTCTGACTGAAGATGTGTGGAGAGCTTCTGGAAACTTATCCAATTCTGAATTCTGCAACATGTCAATTGTGGAGCCAGTCATTTTCTGAGAATTTTGCGAATTGTTTCCACTATCTTCATTATCATTTAAATCTACACAATGAGATGTATCAGGAGCATCAGACACTTTTTCTTTCCCCTCAGTTTTCTGCTGAAACATTTAATAAGGTTAGTACACACACTGAGAGAAGCCTACCAGTTTTCTAATTGGTGTTCCAGTTTACTTCACATTTAGTATAAATCAGATTTCAGATCTTTGCAATATAGTTACTCCTGAATTTCTATCATGAAAACTACCAATAAAACAGTTAATAATTCTACAAAGATGTGCACAGAGCATATTAGAAGTGTAGTTGGAGGTGTTTTGGGAGTAATGTTTCAGTCAATATAAAACTGAAATGCATAGCTGAACATATCTAAAAAAAAAGCCTGCGAAAACAAGCACTAAGAGCTATTTGTTTAAACTCTCAATCAAATTTGACACTACTTCTGGGCAACATTTGCAGTGCTTTCCTTATAGTATCCTATGTATCTACACTTCTTAACTGAACTCTGGACATAGAAGCAGGAAGAGAAAAAGCAGAAAGCAGTATATTCCAGTGTTCCCCACATGGAACCAGTGCTGCAGTCAGCATGCCTGTGCTGAGCAACACAAATACAGAACCCAAGGAATTTCCAATACAGCACTTGTACAATGAGCAGGTCAAATAATTAATCTGAGAAAAAAGTACAAACTTAGTACTTAATAACTCATCACCTTTGCTTTGGTTTCGGAGCGTAAGGAGCGGATCATAGAATTGACATTTGTGATACAGGTTTTCCAGTCTTTTCCACGCTCACTCAAATCATAGGTTGGAAAGTTAGTTGCAAGAAACTCTGCATATAAAATACAGAAAATGTTTGAAGCATCACTACAAAGCCCAGTATCTAGAAGTATCCTAATTTACAAAGAGAGAGAAAGCTAACTAATGCTTCATATGTTTACTGTTCTCCATTTACAAGCTTCAGACTTCCATCGATAAATAAAGATAATAAACTCATGTTTTGAAAATAACCAGCATTATGAATTTAAGATGTTCTGTGATACATTTTGAGATGTTGTGAATAACGCTTCTATTATATTTAATATTTCCTGGTAGAATTAGGGGAAATATGTGATTTATCATACTAACTTTTAGAAAACCCCCCAAACCAACACCACCACCATCCCCTGCAAAAGAACAGACGCAGGGTAAAGCTGTTGCTGTACAGCAACTATTTCACATGGCTTATATAATCTCACACTCAGTTTTAACCCTTTAACACATACATGTCATGCTGTGTAAATGACTTGACATTTATTAAAAAAATCCCCCTCCATCTTCACCACTTCTCACTCAACATAAAGAGTGTTTCAAAAACACCAGTTAATGTTTGTCCCAAGTATACCATGGCCATGAACCAACCCAAATCAACCAAACAAAAAACCACTGACAAAATCCATGGCACACACAAACACAAAATGAACTGCAATTAAAAATCTAGAGAGAGCAAGCATGACTGATGAACACAATGTACATAAAACAAGAAGAAATTTGAATAGTTTCATTTAAATTGAGGAAAAATGAACATTGAGAATTACAAAGCAGGACTTTCAAAACAAAAGGACGCTGCAGAGTGGAGCACATCCACTGCAGCATTTATCTGCTCACCAGCTGTCAGACAGCAATTAGCCAGAAACACACAGAAAAGGACTCCTTTGAAGTTCAAAACTTTGTTAAGTATGAAAGAAGTAAATCTGTGCATTTTGAAAGGTACCAAACCTCTTATTGCAGCAATTTTGTTTGGATCCAGTGTCCTGCGCCCCCGTGCACTCGCTCCCATAACGCTGCACAGTAAAGTTTTCTTGGGGAACAAGACACGAACCAAGTGGCGCGCTGCGTACTTGGGTTTAGTCTTTTGCCGCGCCTTCACCAAATGGTTTCCAAGAACTTTCACATTTCTTGCTGGGTCACCAACAAATTCTTTTGTAAAACAAAAACATTCAAAGAAAAAATAATTTAAAATCCCAAATGAGTTGTTAAAAACAGAACATTTTTTCAAACTCTTTCTCTTGACTCTCAGTGTATGTTCTGTACTACAGTTAATTTTACTATGTATTACTACTTATCCTTGCTCTTACAAAAGCAGCTTTAAATTGGAATGATAACAGAAGTAACTTTTTGATTCACTTTAACCACCAGCATAACTGATATCAAAACACCCAAGAAAATACATCAGACACCCAACTGTCCACAATGTTCACAGCGGCCTATTTTACATATGTGCAGTTACCAGGTATGTTTTCAAGACGCTGACTTATAAAGAGTGGCACATCCATACACAGAACTGCTAAAACACGAACTGTTTACAAATTTTTAGACAGATATCTGAATATTTCACCTAATATTCATGCAACTCTTCAGCTGTACAAATGTATTTTTTAGACCAAAAGCAAAGAAATCATAGCTCAGCCTTGCATATAAATCAGGGCATTTACACTTTAGAAAGAAAGGCATTAGTTTTTAATACATGGTGCTATTGGATATGTGTATTATAATGCAATGATCTACAGAATTCTTGTTTTTCTTTGGAATTAGGTATTTTGAAAGAAACCAAACACTGGAGGATTTGAGTATAAAAAGGATGTATAGAAAGGATAGAATAAGGAAGGATAGAAAGGATAAAATCCCACACAAGAAGAAAACAGGTATTTCCTTCACACATATCCGGCAAGCTTTAGTGGCAATTCTATTTGCCTCCTCCAACACATGGGCAGCATGCTCATATTACTTGTGAATTATACACAGAATAAAAAAAGGTTACATTAAGAGAGAAAAAGAGAGCCTAGAGTTAAAAGAACCCAAAGCACCTACTGTAAACCAGACATTTTCTTAGCCTTTGTTTCTGCATACTTATCACAAAGGCACTCACCAAAGCTAGGATTGATGAGGACTGAAGAAGATGGCAGTTCTTCACTAACATTCACATCCTCAGATGCATTTCTGTAGCTCAACTCCACAGCATTATTTTCCTGACTGGGCTCAGATGGTGCTGGCATCGATGGTGATGCCACGGGTGAAGATGCAATGTTGACAGTACTTTCCACAACACTGGGAGCAAGATTTGATTGTGGTGAAAGGTCAGGCATCCCATTAGTTGCTGTGTATGATGAATGTAATGAATGTGTAGAAACTATAGTGGGGAGTGGTGGGCTCTGCCTTCCAACAGGCTGCTGAGATTCAAGCTGAAAACTCTGCGGGGCATGTTTTACCTTGGAATTGACTGGGACGTGGCCATTTGGTAAAGCAACCCTTACAACTGGGCTATGCCTTCCCTGGCCTGATGAAGAACGATGAAGACTTAAATCTCTTTCCATGTGTTTGGGTACTCTGATTTTTCCTGAAGGCAAATGACTGGAACTTCTGTATGTAAATCCAACTGGTTTCTGCAAACATGATTCAAAAAACAATGAAAAGGTTAAATTAGACATAGCTGATAATTTTGGGGGGGTTTTTTAGCAAATCAGGAAAACTAGATTTTTGTTATGATGCTATTAGCAGCATACTCTTCCTTGAAGTAGTCTCTGTCATCAACTCAGAGCTACAATGTTTTAGCCTTCTCGCTACTATCTTCTATTGTCATTTGTATCTGCAACACTAACAGTTTATCTGGTCAGCCTCACTGTTTCTCAATTTTTTTTTCACCTGGGGGGAGGGGGGAACTACTTTCTAGACCTCTATTAAAAAGTAAATAGGCAAAATAAAATTTAAAATTTTTCAGTCATTGACTGATGAATTTTCAAGGAATGTGTCCACTGCCCTGCTAGCTCCTTTCAAACAAGAAAAAAACCCAAATGACTTCTCTTCTTTCTTTACTTGTTAGCTGAAAACATTAAATATTCAGATCTCATCTACAATGAAGATTCCAAAGAGACTGAGATGGACAAACTGAGAGATGGGCTATGTTTTCCATCACTTCAAGTATTTTTATTAGAAATCATACAGCATGCATTCTAGTTCAAAACACAAGTCACTGAGCAGGAGCCACCAAATGAAGATGATACATGTGGATTTGTTTTTCTTATTTTGTTTAATTTTGCTGGTTTTGTGTGTTTCTTTAAAGAAATCTCATTATATTTCATTTGCATTTGACAAGATCAGTTTATTCCCTGAACCTCATGGTTTTGGATGGGTAGCCAGCACAAGCTTGGAGTTGACAATAAAAATACATACTAAATAAAACCTAGTTTCCTACTGACAGCTGGCAGGTGTGAGAAATCCAGCTCCACCCACCCTTAAAGCAAATGGCCTTACTGCTGTCTTGACATCTCCTGACAGCACAATCATCTCTGTCACATTAAATGCTTTGTAGTGTTGATGACAAAAAAAGTTATTATGGATTTTATAACCTTTTTCAAAACCCATCTGTTATGCTTTCCTTTTAAAGATCATTGTTACAAGTATTAAAATTGTGTCTCCTTAGTTAACACTAGATTGACCATTTAGGAACAAAATGAATACTGTGTACTCAATATCAAACATTATTAAAAATGTTTAAAGAGGAGTCTCCATTAAAAATAAATTCTATACTGCAATGGATATGATAACATACTGTTCACATCCAAAGTTCAATAAGCCAATTGAACCAACCTGACTGATGCTTAAACTCTCTTCTAACTGCAGAAATCAGTGAGACAACACACCACGTGTTGCAAAGGTGCAACAGCAATATACTGAAGTTTAAGATGCACCTACACAATTCACTTCTGTTCATGCCAATACAAATAGAATTTTACAGCATCTATCACAGCATCCTGAATTTGATGGGAGTCACTGCCAATTTGTGGCCACCAGTCAGTAACACAGGAAATTGAAGCTGGCACATAATCAGAAATCTCAAGTAATTGAATTGAAATCGATTCTAAGTCTACTATTTTGCTCCTTATTTCAACCTTAGTGAAATGATTGGGGTTTTTAAAATAAGCATCAGAGGAAATGAGAGAATTAAAGCAAAAATAAACATCTTAGGTCTTTAATACTCACAGGTTTGAGCAAGAATGGCTTTATACGAGTGTGCTGCATTTCTGAGACCTTACGATGAAGCAGGTCAAATTTTTTATCCAGCTTCTGAATGGCATCATACATGGCCTGTCAACAAATATAAAACTGAAAATAGCACTGTTTCACAAGAACTCAACCTAAACCTGAAGAAACCAAGAAAGTTCAATTAAAAGCTGAACTCCTTCCTCAAAACTTAGCCAACTTCCTTCCACAGCACTGCTGAATCTTAAGGAGACCTACAAGACATTAACACTTGGCTACAAATCACTTACAAACTGACTTCCATTAAGCATGGCCTGAATGACTCCAGTCACACAAGTGCTCACCTGAATAAAGATGGGATGCTTTTAATTTTTAGTGCAGTTATTTTCAATTTTGCCAGTTACTGCTTCAGAAATCAAAAGGAAAGAACTTACAAAACCAACACTAGCAGGATTTTTGGCAAGCAACATACATTCAATAGCTGGGTGTGTATCACAGCCATATCTTTCCCATGACTGTGAAATTCCTCCCAATAACTAAACTTTACATTTTGTATTAAAGCTTAATATTTGAAAATTATTCTTATGAAAAGTTCAGAGAATATGAAAGAGCTTAGTTTTACTTTGAAAATATTGTAGTGATGTGGGCAATTAACAAGCATATAACTGGAAAGGATCACATCACTGGTTGTCAAGTTTATAAAACAACTCTTCCCGAAGTTTTGCTAAAATTGTTTGAACACCATTTCAGATATAAAGGAAAAAATAAATACCTGGCAATAACTGAGGACCTCCATAAGAGGATTCTGTTGATATCCAGTATAAGAAGCTTCAGATAAAATGCTTTCCTTTTTCATTAAAATAATAATTAAATATAAAAAAGAAAAAAAAAAAAAAAAGAAAAAAAACCAGTGTTAGGTACTGATAGATACACAGACTTAAGATATCATATTAAGCAAGTAAATCCCAACTTCAAATCTCCCATGGTACTTCAGCCTACCCCAAAACATGCATCCCCCAAAGCAGCTTTTCAAAGTCAGTCAAACAAAAAAAATTCACTTACACATTCATAGTCTGGTTCATACTCATAAATGACACTGTCACTATCTTCATATTCTTCTTCCCTGGTTCTCATCTGGGAAATAACATAATTAACATTTAATATTTTGAAAAGTTAAAGAATTCTCCCAGGAATCCAACGTGGACACTTTTGGCTGCAGCTATAATTCCCTCCTTTGGCTATACGAGGGCCCAAGAAAACAAGACCTACCAGAGTCATTTATGTACTGGTGTGTTAAGGAAACTTTCCTGTCTGACCATGCAGGAGACACTCTGGTGGTCACCCAGGGACTGTAACTGCTGGCACTGAAGCCCCTTTGCAGTGGGTGGCTCAGGTGCCCTACCTGACTCCCTACATACTCTACTTTCACAGTCAAAGTTTCCTTACCAGCTTGACCCTGGATCTGCCATAGCAGACTCTCAGACCTCTGCCTTCTTCAAGTAATTTTACCATGGTACAAGAAGAGGACATATATGTGTGTGTATATATATACACACACACACACATATATATATCTATATATATACCTGTGTATATATGTATATATATACATCTATATATACACGTGTATATATATATATATATATATACACGTGTATATATATATATATATATACACATACACGTGTATATACATGTATATAAATGAAAAATAATGTGCATTTTTGTTTACTCTAAGGCAGAACTTTCTCATCTAACTAAATGTACTAGAGAGCCAAACTTATGCAATTACAGAATCATGGAATCACTTAGATTGGAAAAGACCTCTTTTTACAGCTTCTGCTTTCAGTTATACCCTCTGAGTCCAAATTATGAGACTTCAGTGGGTATAACTGAAAGCAGAAGCTGTAAAAAATTTCTAGAAGAGGCAATTTCCTCACAGTTTGCAAACTGCTTTTAAGCAGAAAGAAAGCAGCAAGAATGGTGCCACCACCTGGACAATCCTGGCATTTTCCTTTTACTGGATGGACGCCAATCCCATCCACCACTCACCACAGATTTACAGCATCTGGTGGTCGTGCTTTCTTTTATTTTTTTTTTTAACTAATCAGGTTTTGTTCTAGAAAAGGAAGGGAGGGGGGTAGGTTATACTTCTGTTTTGTTTACAACAGGCAGAATTCAGTGACTGGTAAAACTTTGGAGATTATTCTGGGAGTTACTGAAAAACACCTGAAGGACAACCGAGTCATCAGTCAGAGCCAGCACGGCTTCAGAAGGGTGAAGTCCTCCTTGTCAAAGTTAAATTCCTTTTATGACAAGATGACCCACCTAGCTGGTCAAGGGAAGTCAGTTGATGCAATCTGTTTGGATTTCAATAAAGCTTTTGATACTGCCTCTCACAGGATCCTCTGGACAAAATGTCCAGCACACAGTTGTTTAAACACATCACAGCTTGAGTGAGCAATTGGCTCAAGAGCCAGACACAAAGCGTTACAGGGAATGGGGTGACATCAGACTGGGCACCTGTCACTAGTGGGGCTCTGCAGGGCTCCATCCCGGGCCCTGTGCTCCTCAACATCTTCAAAAATGATGTGGACATAGGACACATTTATGAGTGTGGACACACTCATAAATTATGTGGACATAAATGATGTGGACACAGAATTTTCTGACGACACTAAGCTGGGAGGAGCCGTTGACTCTCCTGAAGGCGCAGAGCCCCACAGAGAGATCTGAACAAATCAGAGGCTGGGCAATCACCAACTGTATGAAGTTTAACAAGGACAGTGCTGGATTCTGCATCTGGGATGGGGCAACTCTGGATGTATGGACAACTGCAGAGTAGGAGGCTGAAAACTTGCTAGAAGCATCCATGCATAGATATCCTACCCATCTTCAGCAGGATGTCATCAAATCACCACACAGCAGTGAAAGAAAAAATATATTCCAACTGAAACTGGTCTCAAAAGGAAGGGCTATTGCTTGGTGAAACATACCACATTGTGCTCCACTACAGCAGGAGAAAGTCGCTTTCTTTTATTATGCAAAAACACAAAATCCATTTTCTCAGGGCTGTGACCATTTCCTCTCTGCATCATTGCAGAATGGCCCATTTGTGAGGCTGTTTGATCAGCAAGCACTGGCAAGCCTTCACTTCCTGTTAAAGAGAAAGCAAAGCTCATCAAAAAGTTTCCCACTGCATTAAACGTTTTACTGCAGTAAAAATAGGTACAGTCACCCTTTTTTTTAAACTTTCAGACTGCTTGATTATTTGAAATTTGTTTACCAGCATAGTACCAAACAGTTATTCCTTGAATTAATTTAGATCAGAAATTATAAATTCAATTTAGTATTGTTTTTTTCAAAAATAATGATATTTTAAAAAGTGCCAGTAAAAGTAATACTGACTTTGTGAGCATAAATGGCTAAGAAAAAATTAAAATAAAAGGTGCTCTGCAACAGGCAGGGAGAAATGAAGACCTAGATCTCTCTCTGCATGATGTTGAGCTTCCTCTGACAGCTTCTTATCATAGGCCAGAAGATACAAGACAAAAGTAGAAGAAACTCATTTGGACAGACAGAATGAGATCTGAAGGAAAGGCACTGCTCTACAAGACACTGGTCTAAGACAGTGGTTGAATAAAACCAATCAGACAGAATTTCAGTTCAAAGTTCAATAGTCACATTTGAGATAAACCAGTGGTGTGTTCCACTCATCTATCTCACTATACTTGATTTTAACTAGACAATATCTAATACACCCAAAGGCAATAAAACCATATTTTACCTTTTAAGAAACAACTGCTCTCATCACGAGTAATTTAATAATAATAAAATAATTACTCATGTCCTAAAACCAAGGTTAGCAACTGTCTATGACAGCTTCTTGGGCAGAAGTTTTAATTTTGGTGGGGTTGTTTGTTTATTTTCAGTAACAGAGACAAAACCCCAAGTAAATTATCCAAACCATCCTCCACTCCCAAATTTGTTTTTAGATGTAAACATACAACTACAGAATACTCTACTGTCAATTAGAAGAGCAAAAAGTCTAAAGGTTCTCAGACGCACCCAACAACACTAGGAAACACATGTAACTCGTGTCTGTGAAGAGAAATACTGATGGGATTCTCTATAGAGTTAACTGGCTGAATTAAAAAAAATATCCCCCAAAGTAGGAAGTGCTTTCACTTAGTTACAGTAATTTTCCTCACTAACTTGGTAATACTGCTACAGAACTCAATAAATGCTCATAATAGCTGTGAAGAATTTTTGTCTGAGCCAATAAAGCACTGGGTAAGATTTCTTGAGAGACTTTGATCTTGCATGTTGAAATAAATACAGTGAATTAAAGACAATCACAATGGCTACTTACTGCTAATAATTTATCATCCTAAACAACCATCTTGCTATCATTACACATCAGCATCTCCAGTACTAAGTTACACTGGATAGATTATCTAAAAACCTAATTTCTTAAGCTAGGTTCTTTGATGACATTTTCCAAATTGCTTCCTAATTTATTCCTAGGTATACTTACCCTTACAAGTAAGTAAAAAGTTGTCTTCTTACAATGTAATATTTTAGCAGGCTCACCATTTATAAGGACCTTGAAAGTAATAACTAAAAGACACTTCTCATTAAAGGCACTGCCAAGCAATTTCTATAAAGTAGCTTTCTAATAAAATGTGTTTTAAAGACAGGGGTGATATAGAAAGCACTGAATCCAAAAGCACAGGACATATGGCATTAAAACTAGCCATTAACTATCAGATCACAATAAAAATGAACAGTAATTACCATAAGCAAGTTGACTCATGTGGTGAACAGCACTGTTTGCTTCAGAGTTCTGCTGCACTGGCATGCAGCTTTGTGTGGACAGCCTGCTGTCTCCATGGTCCACAATCAGTGCTTCATCCTCCTCCTCAGTCTTCACACACAAATAATCTAATAGCAGCAAGAGAAACAGGTAAGACTGCAGGCCATTCTGCATATCAGGTGCCAAGCCTGTATCACACCTAGCATCATCTCAATTGTACCACAGGATATTATAGATTTGCCTTCACTTCACCATCTAAATACAAAGTCCCTTTTACACACACACACAGGTTATAACACACACTAGAATGGAAACAGCTTACTATTGTTTAGTTGGTGGGATTTCTGAAACTGTTCAGTACCCAGTTCTCCCTAAAGTGTCCAGCTTCAACAGGAACAGTTGTAAGCCAGTAACAAGCACTTCTACAAACTCCACTGTTTATATATTCAAACATATGAAAAAAATGTATCAATCTGATCTTGAAATTTTACTGTCATAAATAAGACTTGCTTAATACACTTGAACAAATCAGTCTACAAATCCTAACTGAATACTTGGTATTCAGATCAATCCAAACATTGGCTCCCAATGCAATACTGTTTAGAAACACTGAATGGCAAATCTCCAGTAGCAGATTTTTCCCAATTAAACACCCTACCTCAGAGACAAAGAGAAAAATGGTTTCAGAGTAACTGTATTATAGTTATTATTGTGAAATCCAGTGTTTTTGTCAGGGTCAGGGAGGGAGTAGAATTTATTTTTGCTGAAACAAATTAATGGAAGGAACCTTATCAAGTTAGGAAATAAAACTGAAATTCAGCCAGCACACATGCATGACACTCTAACTATGCATGACACAGGCTGTATTTTCCACATTGTCTCTGCCCTGTTCAGTGCACAGGATGGACTGAGCTCCAGGGATGAATCAGAACTGTATCAGTGGAACAGCAATCTGGGTCTCTACTCTTACATAATCAATTCATTCCAAATCCTGCTCTCTCCCAATTTCTTAAAGAGACCAAAAGGTAAGAATAAAGTTGAATTCCACAGGTCATTCAGCTTCCCCTCTGGCCAATAATCACATCTAATTCAAAAGACATAATGCAGCAGGGTTTGGATTTGTCTGCCAATCAGATTAAGAAGCTGATGGTCTGTTCAGAAACACCCATCAACTGCTACACCGTCAAGAGCTTTGTTTACAAGTGTAAACAAAGCCAGAAAGCTACCTGGGGCAGAGCTGACCTGTACAGAGGAGTTTAGCTGAGGACACACTCTAGGATATGCTGTTTAGGCTGCCAATGGGAGAACAGTTCTTTGCCAGTTTTCATCAGCTGTATGGAAGTAAACAACAGGCTTACTCATGAACTTAATTTAGGTACAGCTTTTAGCAAAACACTTCAGTGATATTCACTGACTGAAGTTCATTGCAGGCTAACATGACTTATTAGCATGTGATGAATTATTTAACTACCTCACAGGCACAAATTTTTTTGTTGACAATCATTTAGTATTCTACCTACTTTGGGAAAGAATTAACAAAGAGTCAGTAAAAGTGCATCTGCATCTAAGCAGGAGGGATGACAATCCTCTCTGCCAATTTCCCCAGCCAGGATGCCAGATTAGTGCATGGTCTGACAAATGCCCTACTTACAGCTGGGTCTCTGCTGTCCTACAATCCTCTTTCTATCCCTAACTAGACAAAGCAATGCAAACTGTATGTTATTTATGCAACCCTAAAAAGCCCAGAATTCACCTGTATATTCATAATCTTTGCCACAGATCTCATGCCTCACTCAAATAACACTAGCGAAACGACCCTACCTGATCAGCAACTACATCACTCAAATCTACACTGAAAGAGTGATGAGTATGGAAGAGGGAAAATTCTGTGCAACCAGCAAAGACATGGCAAGGTCAAAGCAGCTCCATCTGTACTAGAGGAAGGCCAGTATGATAGAAGTGGCTGATACTGAAAGCAAGGCTCAACTCTTCCAAACCCTCTACCACCCTCCCTTAAATAAGTTTCAAAATCAGAACTTCAACAGTGCAGTGGACTCTGAGCAGAAAGTGTTCCCAAAGCCTGCAGCTACAGCAACTCACAGCTGGAGAGCAAACATAAGCCAAACAGAAAACTACAGAAACAACAGAAAACAACAGAAAGCAAAACCACCTCAATAAGAAAAAAATAAACAAAACCAAAACCAAAATTACAACAGATTTCTGGAAGCAATGACATGGAAGCAATGCAGCAACAAGCAGCAATCTGTAATTTTAACCTTTCAGTGATGGCCAGGATCCTCCTCATCCCCTGGCTTTTTGATTTCCGTCACCCATTGCTGAACGTGGCAGCTTTCACACATAGAAAGGGAATTATTCTGTCTTCAGAACAGCATTTTTACATGAGCAGTCAAGAAACTTGAAGATTAGAATACACCACCCATTTCCAGGAAGGCCTATTAGCATGACTGGTCACACTGCAACAACGAGAAAAGCAGCCCCAAGAATGCAGACTCACCTGTTTTACACCAACCATTTCCTCCTTTCCCAATGCATTCTAGTTGCCTGGCCTCTGAAGTCAGTGGACAAACTTAAATGTCTCTGCTATAGATTTGACTACACTCATCAGCAAGAGGAATAGATAAGTGATAAAAATTATTTTGTTTATAAGACTGTTGGGAATTAAACAAAGTTTACTTATAGAATATTAGAGTATAGAATATTATTCATACCTTCAAAAACTTGTGACAAGAAAAGAATCTAGCTATTTAGCCACAATCTGAAAGACACTGCAACTTAGTCCTCTAAGCAATTCTATATATTTCTGATGCTTCCTTAAGGTACCCAGGAATAGAGAGTATTACCAAACATACATAGCACCAAACAGTATGAAATACAATTCTGACTCTCAGGTAGGAACCACAAACTGCCAAATTCTATGGATTAATTTGTACTCCTGGAGAAAAAAACCCAAAAAAAAACCCCACCAGCCATCAAGTGTTTTTTTACTTCTGACTTGGATGAAGATGCAACTGCATTTCTTGTGCCAAGTTAGTAATATATATACATTAACTCACTCCACTGACAGAAAATTTCATGACATAGATATTTAGATGTTTCCAGTATGTCTTGAAAGGAAATTATAAATTTTAATAGTGTGATTAAGGAAATATTTGAGGTTTACATATTTCAGACATGGCTTTTACTGTGAAGTGGATTGGACATTAGTAATACTTACTAAGTTGGCTGATTTATCCAATCATTGGATCAAGTTATCAGTTTAGGAAAACTCTGAATTTCTG